TGATCTGAGAATCTTCCCAAGGAAGCCATGAGAACTCTTGTGACTCTGCAACCTTGCCATCACTGCCTCACTTATTCCTGCACTGAATACCCTTGAAGCTATCTAGTAGGCTGTATGACAGCACAGGTCTCTGTGCTCACAAGGGTGGGAAGCCAGTGAGGTTACGGGGTACATGTAGAAGGGATGCAAAAACTAAGGAAGTTGTGCCATTGAAAAAGATGGGAAAAGATCTCTTTCTTAAAAGTACTCTGCCAGGCATGGAGGCACACATGTGTAATTTTAGCAATCATGAGGTTAAATTAGAAAGATGATCAACCTAAGACCAAGCAGGCTGTGCTACACAGTAAGTTAAAGGTCAGCCTATACAGCAACACTGTCTTTGGGTGGCAGGAAGCACCTACAGGTAATGAAGCTCATCTCCAAGTTCAACCCATATCCACTCTGCAAACATTCAAAGAGGCTAGCTTCTTGGACACGAGCAGTAGTTTAAATGAGAATGGCCCCTCACAAAGACTCATACATTGGAGAACAATTTAGGAAGGATTGGGAGGTATGGTCTTATTAGAGAAGGTGTGTCAATTAAACGCTTTCTTTTATAAGTTGCCTTGGTCATGTTGTCTTTTCACAGCAACATAAAAGTAACTAAGACATCATGCATCCTTTGAGAGGAGCTGCATGCTCTGCATTAGCATCCCAGAGAGATCTGGTCCTCAGCAGGAGCCATATGATGGTAATGCACAGGAATGTCAATTAGACATTCACATGCCTATGCTGATGTGTGTTAAATTTAACCCTAAATTATAGCCCTTCAGAATAAGTCTGCTTCTGTCCAATTTTGGTTTGGGTTTGTGAGAGTTCTGCTGGTAAAAATGAAGTAATACCAGTAACTTATCTACAAATTACAGGAAGGAGAAAGTAGGGTAAAAAAGACCAAGAAACTTAAAACGGGTTTGATCAACCACATCCTAGCCAGGCAGGAAACAAGAGGAGACTGTTCTCATTCATAGGGAAGGAGGGCCATTTGCACAGGACTTTGATAAAAAGTCACAAATGATGGTCATCTTGCTAGCTGTTCCAGAATTTCCAACTGCAGGCATCAGAAAGTGGGGCATTGATCTCACACCCACAGAGAAGCCAGCCTCTCATGTACCAGCTCCTTCAGCCACTCATACAACCAGTGGGTCTATCTCCCACAGTGGAGGCTGGACCTCTACCCCAAGAGGAGGCCATGGGAAAAAAGGACATACCCCCTGAGTATGTCCTCACATCCTCTAAGAGGTGTCCAGTAACCATCTGCTCTGTGCTTTGACTTAAGCTGCAAACCAGGGCTTGTTGGCAGTGTCCTGCTTGTGGCCAGGTACTGTAGTTCTGAAGGCAATACCAAGGGTAAAAACAGAGACAATCTCTCTGTATTATTTCTTACAACTGCATGCAAATCTACAATTACTCTAGTAAAAAATGCCCTCTAGCAGTCTGCACGCTCGCAGATGAATTAACAAAGAGAATGGGTATAAATAAATAATTACTGAATGATTAGTCATAATGGGACATTTACATTATTCCTTTCAAAGTTCAAGGAATATTACAGAGAAGGCAGGAAAAATAAGAGCTAGAGGATGGAGTGCTATGCTATGGAAAACTATGTCTCACACATGACATGGCCACTCCACTCATGAGCTCATAACTGCTGTGATGACTGCATAAGACCTGACCGCTAACATTCTGTCATGGAGTCGGGGGACGGGGACTCACAAAGCCCCACTCCTCCCTGATGACATACAGGCAGTCAGTGGTAGCTGAGAGGAGAGGCTCCAGCTCCAAAGGTCCCAGTCCCCTATGAGGACTTATCGGCAATGATGTTCTGGGAAAGGCAGAAACACCTTCAACAGCGGCATAGCCACAGTAAGTGGCCTGTGCTCCTGTATGCAGCTCTACTGAAACTGGTATTAGGGAAAATAAAAAAGGAAAGCAGAAGGGGAGCTAGTTGGAAAAAGAATGCAGCCCATCAGGAGTGAGATGGGGCAAGAGAGTCAAATAGGGGTTGAATATAATAAAATGTTTTATATGCATGTATGAAAATGTCAGTGAAATTTGTTATGTATAATCAATATATGCCAATAACTATGCAAAATTAAAAAAGAAAATGGGTTTATACACATATTATTCAGCTTTTAAAATCTAAGGAAATTTGGCAATAGATAGTAAAACCTTGATGAACCTTGAGGACATAATTCTACAAGTAGTAGAAAGAAATAGGTATAGAAAAGAAACACTACATGGTTCCATTTCTTTACGAGGCACCTAAAATTATCAAACTCATAGAAGCGAGGGTGGGATGCTGTCTGCAGGGAGAAGGAAGAGGGAAGGGTTCAAAAGGAATAAGGTTTCGGTTTAGCAGGTGGCTCTGAAGCACGACAGAACACTACAAGAGCCTACAAGATGAATGAGTTCAAGAGATCTGACATGAGGTATTTATTGGTCTGTTGACAACAATAATGCATCATGCATTTAAAAGCTTGATAAAGGGCTGGGAGATGGCTCAGTCAGAAAAGTGCTTGCCATGCAAAGACCAGGACTTAAATTTGAGTCTCCAGCACCACACTGGAAACAGGCATCATGTTGTGTACCTGTACTCCTAGAACCGTGAGACAAACAAAACACAGTTCCTGGGAGCCCACCACCCGCCAATCTAGCTGAATCAGTGAACTCTAGGTTCAGTGAGGGGCTTGTCGCAAAGAAAATAAGAAAGTGGAAAGCCCTTTAATCCTCAGGAGGCAGAGGCAGGTGGATCTCTTTGAGTTTGAGGCCAGCCTGGTCTATAGAGTGAGTTTCAGGACAGACTCCAAAGCATCAGAGAAACCCTGTGGAAAGTAATGGAGGAAGACATATGAGATCAACCTCTGACCTTGGCATGCACATGTACATGCTCACACATACACACTCACATATTGGCTAAGAGGGTGAAACTCATGTTAAATGTTCTTGCCATAAAGTAAAATAACCTGTGAAAGCAGCACCCCAAGAACTCTGGGTTTATCTCTTGCAACCCCAGAGGGAAGACATTCTGGGAAGAGCCTGGGAAGCTATTCTGGGGTTTGGAAATAGTATCACACACACTATTCCAAAAGGGCCTAAGACATTTTAAACTGTTATTAATACAAACAAAGTGCAATTAGCAGCAGACTGGGTGGGGACAAGGCAAAATAACAAACATGTCTCTTGGGGACAGCCTCTGAGATGGTTCCTGCAGAAATGTATGTAACAGGGACCAGATTGCCTAACCAATCACTAGTCTCCAAAACTCTGAACTCATAAGTAAAACTTTATGCTGGTAACTCATAAGACTTTCTTTTCTTAAAAAAAAATATTTATTGTATATATAGTATTCTGCCTACATGTATGCCTGCAGGCCAGAAGAGGGAACCAGATCTCATTACAGATGGTTGTAAGCTACCATGTGGTTGCTGGGAATTGAACTCAGAACCTCTAGAAGAGCAGGCGGTGCTCTTAACCACTGAGCCATCTCTCCAGCCCATAAGACTTTCTTTTGGTCACTTCAAGAATAAACCAAGAAGCCTGAGGACCAGGCTGTAATCTAGCTGGGCATTTGCCTAACACTTGGGATCTATTCTCTTTGTTCTTACTTACAATCTCTGGAACCCAGCTCACTTTCCCTGCTTTCTAAGTGGAAAGAAACAACTTGCTCAAGGTTATCCAGCTAGTAGAAGGCTGAACAGCTGGCTGGGGCTCTGCTCCTTGTGCTGCGTTGCTTCTGCATTATTGCATCCATTCAGCAAAACCTACTTAAGTAGTTATAGAAAAGTCTGGAAAGATGGCTCAGCTATTAAGAACACCTGACTGATGCTCTTGTAGAGGTCCAGGGTTCAGTTCTTAGCACCCATGGAAGGTGGCTCACAACCACCCGTAACTCTATCTCCATGGGATCCAATGTCCTCTTCTGGCCTCCACAGGCACCTGTACACACATGTGCACACACAAAAGCCTTCCATCTACAAGATCACATTGCACTCATACATGCAGGTGGACAGTACCATTTCTACTGTGCCCCACATACTCATGTGGGCCTCCTGTTGGAGCACCAGTAATGGAGATAAGACCTCATGAAATAGTCCTGTATAAGATGCTCCCTGCTTCTCTCAGATGCCTGCAGGAACTCATGCTTGCACAACTGCAGATATGATAGCAGCCACAAGCAACTGAACAGGATAAGACCTCTGAGGAGCGGGGTGTATGGTCCTTTCCAGGAGTGGACATGCTAAGGTCACAAGTGGATTGGGAAAGAAGATTGGGACAGTCTCAGGTAGCATGGGACTCAGAACACCTGAGCAGAGAAGTAGGAGGGATGACATCAAAGCATTGGGACAAGCAGGAAAGAGTCCAGGAAGTCATTCCTGGCCCCAGATGTTTCCCTTCCTTAGTGTGCAAAGTGCAAGGCTAAGCTCTGCAAAACATAACATGGCTAGACATACTTAGTCCATCGATTTTAGTAATTACCCCAAAGTCAAGAACTTCTGCTTCTCTGGAAACAAGATGACTTGAGAATGACTTCAGGCTGGATGGGACAGCAGCTGTGCACAAGGAAAACTGTCCAGATTGCTGAATTGGCATGTTCTACCATTCTCACACTGGACCTGCATCCCTCACAGGTGATCACTACCCAGCCTCTAAGGATAAATATGTCTTAGATAGGTAGTTCTCTCAACTCTCATTCCGTCCCAGAAATAGTGCTTTGTACACTCAACATCTAAGGACCACAAGTTATCCATTTAGCAACACCCAACTGATCAAATGTGTTGCTGATGCTGGACTCCAGATTTTCCTAGGTGTACATCTGAAGACTCTGACTAGATTCCCTGTGTCTCAGAACACCTTACACATCATCACTTATGCATAATAAAATATTTTCTTACTTCAGAGAAATACAAATTAACAAAGTACTTCTCCTTATCAAAATGTAGACACAGACCAGAGTGACTTACAGAACTTCTGGGAACATCCTGCGCAGGCTTTGTGTATGTCTCAGATAGATCGCCATTCAGAATAACTTCAGCCAGAGAGTTCACCAGTGGGGCGTGATGGATAATGAGGAAGACCTGGTGGAAGGGGGAAGATGGGATATACATTGAGGAGCTCAGTCCTCTACTCTCCTCCTTCCTGATTCAAATTACCCAGGCTGAGGATGGGTCCCATTAAGGAGAAAGCAGCTGCTCAACTCTGAAGGACTTCCCCCCTGCCCACATTGCCTGTTTGGCTAGCTGTTCTTTCTTGGGAGTATATCAACATCATCATTGCACAAGTGGAGCCCTGTGGGAAAGCAGTGGCTTGGCCAGTACACTCCTTCCTTTCTGTGGCATGCTAGTGCCAAGTTCCAGCATAAGACCAGTCAAGTATTTGTAAAGGGATGTGATGCTGAGATTCCAACACTGGAATTATCCCAAGCCCTGGTGTGGGTTTTAGCATGCTGGGTTACAGCAGTGTTGTAGGTGAAGGCCACAGGATGTAAAGTAGAAAGTTCTGGATGTCACCTGCCTTGCTGCCTCATGCTCAGAAGAGTGACATTAGGAATCAGAGTGTTCAAAACTGACCTGCCAAGTTGGCCCAGACACACCCACTACCTTGTTTTAAAATGTAAAAGGGGGCCAATGAGATGGCTCAGCAAGCCAGGTAAACTGAGGTTAATGCAGGGGAGAACTGACTGTTCTCTGACCTTCACCTGCACACCATGGCACAGGTGCTAACCGTGCTTCCTGCACATACATGCTAATAATAAATTAAAAATATAAAGCAATAGATGCCAATAGATGTAGTATAGTGTGTGGTATATTCACCCTATACATGGATCCCTGGCAGGTGTACAGATCCTAGCAGACAGATCTCCTGACTATGGACAGATCCCTGCCCGTGGATGGATTCTTGATTGTAGATGGATTCTTGTCTGTGGATGGATTCCTGCCTATGGAGAGATCTCTGTGGGCAAATCTGCCTGTATCCAGATCTCTGCAGATAGATGGATCTATAGATGGGTGGATGGATCCCTACAGGCAGACAGGTCCTTGTAGGTAGTTGCGTGTCATGCTCATTTTCCTAGCTCTGAACCAGAAGCATGGTGGGAGGGATCTCCACAGGAGAGATGTGGAAGAAGGCCTAGGCCAGGCTATCTGCACCATGTTCTTATGAGAGGCAGCTTAGTTTTAGGGGATGGCATCACTTGTACTAAATTACTGACACTGATGTGAGTTTTCATGGAAGTTATGCTGACAATATTTGTAAGCATGCATCAATTTTAAAGGGATGTAGATGCTTTAAGGATGCAATGTTTAAATGGGCTTTTAAGTTTTCACACATTTAAACTATTTTATAATTAAGCCAAATTACAGTGTAGGGGAGGAAGGAAAAAGGGCTAAAGATTTCTTTTTTTTTCTTTTTTTTTTTTTTTGAGACAGGGTCTCACTATGTAGTACTAATGGGCCTGGAACTTACTATATAGACCAGGCTGGCTACAAATTCAAAAGATCTGCCAGCTACACCAGAATCCAGTCCATCTTCCCACTGTGGGTTTCTTCTCAGGCCAGCAGTAGCTAGCATTACCCCAAACTTGAAACAGTAGGGGGTCCAAGTAGAAGGAAATCTCACTAAAGGGAATCAATCCTGGTACCATGACAGACATGGGAACAGAGCTCTAAGCAAACATCTGGCTACTTGACAGCTGGGTAAAGTAGTCCACAAATCTGGACTGCGAGCAATAAAAATATTTCTAAAGTTATGTAACTGGGTCGCTATGGAGTTTTTCCCCTTTTTGTAAATATTACATAATTACAAGATGTGAAGGAAGAAACAGTTGTTTAAGGAGGGAGGCAGGCAAACTGGCTCAAATCTCAGGCGATGGCTGCTCTAAGATCCCTTCGGAAGGTGATCTGGAACCAGAACTACTACAGCCCCCTGCAGACAGCCCTAGCAAGGCTGTGTGCTGGGCCACAGCTGTGAGTGTGCATTTGTCCAGCAGCTGGGGCTCATTATTTCTAAGCACTGTGAACAAAACCACACAAGCCCACATCTCCAGTTGTTTGGGAAGCCTCATCTAGAACCAACAGCATGGCGCCAGGCATCATCTCCCTCTACTTTCTATCTTCTTCCATGAGATTGAGTCCTACTCTGTGTATGAAAAACAGAACATCCTTTTCCGTGTTGGGATTTTATTTCAAGAAAGGGGCCACAGAGCTAGATCAGCACCCAGGACATCCCACAGGACCCATCTGTGTAGGAGATGCTGGAGACAGAACAAACATACCTGGGAGAGAAGATAGAGGGACACCGGCAGGCTGATCTTTGGGCGCTCTCCTCCCTAGTGAAGGACAGAGGAAAAAGAGGTAGCTCGAGTCACAAAAGGCAGACACTGAACACAGAAGACCACAAGTCCTCCATTCAAACACTGTGCTAGTCAAAAGCCTACTCTAGGTAGACAGGTGCAGCATGACCCAGTTCACATGGAGGCTAGCCTTTCCCCCCAAAATCCTGCCCCACACCCTGGTTGGGCAGCTGAGCCAGTGCAGGAGCTCATTTCCACAGTCACAGAACGCTCACTCCCCAGCTGGGCACTGAGGGCCCCGGAGGACAGGGCCCAGGCCTATTTCAGGAAGAGCCCTTCACAACACAGGCAAGGTGGGAGGGACTTGGGGCTCTCTGGCCTCAGAAAAACAAAACAAGTATACAACAAAACTCCTTGTTTGCCCTCAGCTTTAAGATGGCATATCAGACCAGTCCTGTGTGTGTGTGTGGGGGTGGGGATCTTAGGATCCAGATCTCAGTAGTGCTCTCTCGGAGCTGCTGCAGTGCGGGTCAAGATTTATGACCTCTTCTCCTGTATTACTTATTGACTGGGAGAATGCCCACATTCTAGCTACAAAAAGATGCCATGCTAATGAGGTGTCCCTGCAGGGAGACAGCTGGTGGCTCTGCTCCTTATGAGGCCTCTGTTGGCTGCATCTGTGTCCCTGCTCCCTCTCACTCCAATCTTATCTCTGAAGGGACAAGCGAGGCTGCTCTCCCTGAAGTAACTTTTCCCTTAGGGATCCTGGAACCAGTCACTCATGGCATCACCAGGAGACAGGTTACACAGGTAGAATCCCCGTCCTAACCTAAGCCCACTGAACCAGAACCCTTGAGAGCAGATGGTATCCTAGGAAGTCACCATCCCCTACCCTATCCCTTGCCCCTGTGGAGGACTCAGGGGACCTTTCCCTGAACATGCTCCAGCACTTTCTACGCATGTCACACAAAGGTTCTAGTGCTGCCTGATAACTGTCTGAGGGTAAACTCCAGTGAGCACCAGAGAAAGCTGGGGGAACAGCAGCACCTCTGGGAAGGGCGCATGGGCACTGATTCAAGGGTCCCTCGTTTCCTTCGGATACTGGGATCTTATATTTCTTGGCCACTTTCTCATCAAGAAGGGAGAACCAATGGGCTCTGAAAGGTCTTTCCCTGGGATGTGAAGCTTTGTTGTACACTGCAAAGGCTGCTCCAGCCGAAGGCAGCCCTGTCCCTCCCTCTCAGAAGACACTGCAGGAGGCAATGGCCAGCTGCAGACTCACCTTGTCCGGGTTCTCCAGGGAGTACACATAGAGGGGCAGGAAGAGCCTGTTGAGCAGGTGGTCTGTGAGCACATCGTTGAGGAACTCACAGTTGATGATCAGGATGTCATTGAGATAGTGCAGGTGGTCCAGGTGCTCAGCCACCAGGTCACTCAGTTTTCCCCTATTCCGGTGCCTGTGAAAGAAATGTTCCTTTCAGTCCAGAGGTCAAGGTTTGGGGCCTTCGGCTTAAGCAGAAGACACATGTAGAGATACATTCACTCACACACCCGTTAGTTAAGCTTGTCAATCAGGTAAGCTAGTGTAGGTATGGCCCCTGATGGGAAGACAGATGAAAGAATAATACACAGGACCACTGAAAACATTTGAGAACTTCTGGGGCTCTTTCTCCCAATGGCCTTTGCAAGGCACCCCACAATTGTGGGGGTAAGTTAAGCAAAGAAAAACAGTGCTGCCCTTGTAGGAAGCCACTGCATAGGAGTATGCACTGGCCAACACGGTGAGACTCCTCAGACCCACAGATGAACAATACTAAGGGAGCCAGACCAAGCCAAGTGCTCCAGAGGACAGGAACAGTAGAGAAAGTAGGCCTTACTTTGCAGCTTCAGCCACCACATGGCAGGGACATAGAACAAGGACACACACTCCTCCTTAAGGCTGCTGGTGACTTCTGGGATCTTGCAGCAAGCAACACCTGTGCTGCCTGTGTTTTCAGGGTGCAGCCAAAAGGACAGAGTCAAAGCAGCCAGAATTAGACTTTATTTCTTCCAAAGCAGAAGGTGGGCAAAGAGCACTTAGTTGGGAAGTAGGGGCACTGTGTTTGCATCAGCATCACTACTATTCAAGTTATACACGGCCATTTCAGAAGACAGAGACTTTTCCCAGAGGGGAAAAGAGCTCCAATGGGGCCATCACTAGTGTGAACACCCACTATTGACATTTAGGACTTACCACCTGACAGCTTGGTTTGCATGTTTTTCCCCCTCCCCCAGTAATCTAAAATGTGCTTCATATCCTTGTAGGAGTAACGTGTGTCAGGTAGGTAAGATATAGTAGGCTCAGATTTGCTTGCACATAATTCAGGACAGTTATTCCATACTATAACCACCTTCACTAGACACTGACAACAAAGTCATACTGCACAGCCCAAATATAATGAGAATCTATGAACCACCCACCAGAGACTCAAAACACACACACAATGTTCCATACTCCTCCCTTATGATACCATCAAAAACTGGCTTTAGAGGGTTTTTAATATACCTCCCTTTTTGATGTTTTCCTGTAGAATTTTACTGAAGCAATAACATGGGTGGATTTAATGGCATTAGTCAGATCTGACCCAGCAGCTCCCCAACCCAGAGAAGGAACTGTGCACATGACACTGGGGACTAAGCCTGAAGACTCATGTGTGCTGGGTACAGGTTCCATTGCTGAGGTACATCCCTAGCCCTCCTTTCAGTTTACTGTGGGACAGAAGCCTACTAAGGGGCCCATGCTAGCAACCTTGAACCCACTATGTAGGCAAGACAGGCTTAAGCCTCCTGAGTATCTGAGATGGCAGGCTTGAGCCTCCAGGCGCAGCGGAGGAAACCTTAAGCACTGGTTCTTTCTGGAGGTGGTCCCTCCTAGCCTTCTGTGAAACCTGCACTGACTTTCACTCTGTACCTCAGCCCTTTTAGATGTTGCTCACTGACTCCCCTTACCACAGAACTCTGACTCTCTATTGTCCCCCACAGTATTTTGGAATAACCAGAACTGCCATCATCATAACTGGCCACTGCAGATCTACAGACTACGAGTTCACGGCCTTCCCTGAAGCACATAACTTTTTCTGGAGGACGGTGCCTCGGTTCACATCTAAGGCTGTGATCCACATGGGCTCTATTTTCCAGAAAGCCCCATTAGCCCCCCTCCCCCTGTTTCTCTAGTCTTGCTTCTTTCCCAGTGTTAGATTGCACATGCTGCCTAGCTCCCCTTGTTCAGGAGATCTCCTCTCTGGATCCTCCAATGTCCTGACCCCATCTGAGTACACTTCTTACTTTATTTGGGGCAGTGGTTCTCGGCTGAGTGTGAAATAATGTCAGAGGCATTTCTGGTTGTCCTAACTTGGAGAGGTGCCGTTAGCCATAATGGATAAAAGAGGCCATGCAGGCTGCTAAACCCTCTGCAAGGCAAAGACAGAACTATAGCAACGAAGTGCCCAGTTCACAGTCAACAGTGCCAAGACAGAAAAGCCCGATGTGGAATTTCAAGTCACCACTACCATCTTAAGCTATTTTTTACAATTTTTCTTGAGATATGATTTGCTCACACATTTCACATATGGGCTTTTAACATTTGTTTTTTTTTTTTTCTTGAGATGCTAGAAATGGAACTCAAGACCCCAGCAAGTACTCTACAAGACCCCATGTATGTTCAACACATCTGATTTGAGAACACTTTTAATCTCATCTGCCAAAAGCTCTGTACTTATCAGTAGTGGCTTTCTGTTCCCGCCGCCTCAGAAACACCCCCTCCTCCTGTACCCCAGCCTTAGGAAACCACTCATCTACTCTGTCTTTAGATTTGCCTCTTCTGGGCATTTCCGTGAAATCACAGGTTGTGTGTCCGATGCCTTCACTCAGGGCAATGTCTCTGAGGTTTATCCACATCATAGCATGTGTCAGCACTACAGACATAAACGGTTAAATACTAGTCCACTGCATGGAGAGACCACATTTTGACTATTTTGTGTCTGTATCACAGGAGGGTAGAGTATATGTGCATGTATTTGTGTGTAGGTACACATGTGAGTGTAGGCTTGGAAGTTAGAGGACAACCTCAGGTGTCAGACCTCAGGCACTGACACCAGTAAGATGGGGTATCTCACTGGTCTGGAGCTCACCAAGTAGGTTAGCTAGCCAAAGAGCTGCCAGGGGCTCGCCTGACTCAGCCACTGTATCCAGCATTCTCATATAGGTTTTACAGATAGAACCTGGGTTCTCAAGTCTATGCGTCAAGTGCTTTAGTGAGTGAACCACCTGCCCAGCTCTACAGTTTGGTGATTCACACATCCTCATCTCATCAGCAGCCTCGTAGGCCCAGCTAGGAAAGTACTGCCACCAGTCTGTGTGGCACATGGAAAAAGTTCAGATTCCCACTGTCCTAGGTGGGTGGTCTGAACCTTCTGCCATCTGAAGTCCCCACTCTGCTTGCCCAGGGGTCAGTACTGCTCTCCTCTCCACTTCTCCTGGATGGAAACAGAACGCTCCCTTCACCACCCTGTTTTCTGAAGAGACCACTGGAGCATTACTTACTCCTCATCGGTCTGCACACAGTTGTCAAGTTCGATCACGTGGCTCCCAATGAACCAGACCAAATTGGAGAAGTACGGGACAGCGGTTTTGTCTCGGATGTAGTGCAGCATGGCCTGGTTATCCACTGAGAAGATTCACAGAAGAAGAAACAGTGAGCTACCAAAATAACTTAGGGAAAATCTTAAAAACAAAACACCCAAACAAACCAAAAACCACCACGAAAAAGCCTTGCTACCATCTGAGACTCTCTGTCTTTCCTGGAAATACTTGGAAATGCTTATCTTATTAGTCAAACAAAGCAGTGTTGGTTCTATTTTCTCAACTAACACACTCGATTATTCTTGTTCTAATTGCAGGTAGCACTAGAGAGGCTATACATCAGCAATGGGCAAGACCTGACTACACTGAGAATGCAACACTCTCAAAGCAAGTCTCCTGGGTTTACTCGTAAGGCCAATTCAGAAAGAGGAAAACCAGAGGTTAATAACTTACATGACACTGGAATAAGGAACAGGAATCGGCATTGGAGGAAAGGCAAAAACAGACAACAGTTAACAGGGTTAGGAACTGGGAAGGTAAGACAGCAGCCCAGAGGGACAGAGCCTAGGCAGGAGGCATCTAAACCAAAAGACACAGTTAGAACAGAGCAAGAGAAAACAGAGTGCATAGAGCAATGGAACCGACAGCGCATGAGCAAGGTCGCAAACTCAGAAGTCTGCCAGGTCAACAGTTGCACGGTGAATGAGGTTGGGAGGCTGAGAGTGTAAACTGGGGAGTCAGACAACCCAGAAAGGAGCAGTTGCTCAGCCTTTGACCACTTCCCTATGGAAGTGTGAGCCTAGAACAGCCAAATGTACATCTTCAGGACAGAAATTACACTGGGCAAAAGCTCCAAATTTTTAAATATGTGCAATTATAGATATATACTTCTGTTGTTGCTGCTGTTGTTACTGAGACAGGCCTCGCTATGTAGCCCTGGTTATTCTGTATATGTTTTCCAAGCCTGTCTGAGGACTGGTATGGGTCAACAGACCCTCAGTTTGCGACCTCTGGCTGGACCCATTTAGGCTCTAAGAAAGGCTCTTAAATTTAAAGTAATCCCAGGGCAGACATCTTCCTCTGGTCCCTGACTGGGCATCTCAAGTAACAAAAAAAAAGTCAAAGACCTATATGGCCAAGAAATGGAGGCCCAGCTCTACCGTGGTCATTATAAGGAAATTAACCAGGCTTGGGCATTGTCTTAGAGGAGCAGTTCCAGCTCCAAAAAACCTGCAGCCAGCTGGCAAGCTAGCACAGGCAGGGCTCCTGGGAAGGATCCCTGCTGGAGACAGTATGGAGCATTTAGTTCGTCCTGAGAGGAAAGAGGAATCTTGGTGGTTGGCTGGGAATACAACACTGCCCCCTGCTGCTTGTGATGTGAAATGCTCTCATGCATATTAAAGATAAACTATAAAAGTATAATACAGTATATTTTATAAGCCAAAACACAAAAATTGAAGCCAAAAAAAATTCAAGACAGTTTTGCTTCATCCACCCATTTCATGGCCACTCCAAATCCCACACAGACTTCTCGGATATCCTGTGTAGCAGCAGCAGGGAGCAATACCAGAACATGTAGTACAAAGATCTCCATAAGAAATAGTGAGATGCCTGCAGGCCTACTGTGAGACAAGCAGCCATGGCTTATACTAGGCAATCTCTCCAGTGACTCAGGAACTGTACTCAGGGGCATGAGAGCCAGCACGTGGCCCAGCACCTAGACTCGAGGGCATAAGGAAACTGACCTTTGTAGACGTTCAAGGTGATGGTTCTCACAGCAATTCGAACCATGCTCTCGGGGTGATTGAAGAACTTGATGGCTTCTGTGTACAGGGCAAAGTCATTGGTGTGCTAAAACAGAAAGTGGACCCAAAAGTTACAAATCACAAGACAGGCTGCCCTGAACCTTTCTGAAATTTGTCAGACTGTGATAAAAGAAAAAAAAATGATGTCATCATTATGGGAGGTGAGGAAGCCAAGACAGAGAAAAGGGTCCACAGAATGTCATGTGGTTTCCTGATCTGGCCTATCACCTTTAGCTATGTGAGGAGGTATTTCCAAACCCATTTCTTTATCTATAAACAGAGGTAACAGCACCCACTTTCTAACATCTAGGATGAGATGAGGCTCAGCCTGGCACTTGATATCTACAGAGCACAGAACAGAGTGCCAGTAACATCAGACCTTGCTGGAGTAAAGACATAAACTGAACTAAGTTCAGTAACTTTTGGCGGCTCATCTGCTCTACCATTCTCCATTTGGGAATACCAGAAGTGTAGCATAACCAGGGAGGCAGAGGTTCTCAAGAGTCTCCTGCTGTTAAAATGGGACAAAGAGAATCAATAAAATGGTTCTAAAAAAGGATATCCACGGCCTTAGCCTGAGGAGACAGAGGTAATGTACCTTGCTGCCATCCTGCAGTCCATGTTTCTACATAGTTCAAGGGCCCAGCTTAGGAGTGGCTCAGGCGAGGCATGGTGGTGGAGATGCTCTAGACCAGCCCTCCCTAGAATGGAGCTGGAGGCTCAAAGTAACAACTGTCTTATAAAAGCAATGCCATTTTGAGGACTGGCAATCGAGTATGAACCTAAAAAGTGACAATGACTACCCTGGTTCAGACTGAAGAGGAAAATAAGTCTACCTCAAAAACAAACACCTGGGATGATCTGCTCTTCTAGAGTCAAGGCTTCTGCCCTCCAGCCACAGCTCAGAGAGAACCTGGACAAGAATACTATGGCCCTCTGCTCTGGGTTTTCTTCTACCTGGGAGAGCCTTTGGGTAAAAGTTGTTCCCTGGATGTGTTTCCAACCACCTACTGTGTGCCAGAGACAGGACTCTACTGTGCTCATTTCTCAAGTGCAGACATGTTTTGTGGTTCTTGTCTAGCATTTCCTCCAGAGAGACTACTGAACCATGAAAATCAAGGTTTGGACTGTTGCCATCGCAATGAGGTTTGATGGACGATAGATTTTGCCCAAACAGAAGAAGAAGAAGAAAGGTGGAGGAGGAGCAGCAGCAGCTTGAGATTGTTGTCTGACTTCAAAAACAGGCATTGGGCAGACCCCAAACATGTTCACCACCTGTGTCCCACTCATGTTGTTCTCACCCACAGAGAGGTAGATCATAGCTGTGTGACCAAAGAGTGTGACAGAATAGGTGTGTGACTTGTGAGGCTGGTCGCAGAAAGCAGCACTGTTTGCTGGGTCTGCTGTTGAGGTACTCACTCTAAGCAAGCTGACTGGAAGGACATTTGGTCAGCCCAGGAAGAGGCCCTAAAAAGGAGCTGTGGTCTCCCATGCACAGCCAGCATCCGTTAACCACCCTGACAGTAAAGTAGCTCCTCCAACCCCATTCCGGATTCCAGGACATTAGTTCTTAGGACACTGTGTAAAACAGTCCTACTAAGTCAATCCTAAATCCAGACATACCGAGAATGTGATGTGATTCTGATCAGTGAGACATAGGGAGAAGTCTGGGGGAGACTTCTGAGAACATGCTCTCAGAAGGGATACAAGAAAGGAAGTGACATTAGAAATTCTGACAGTAGCACGTGACTACGTAGTGTCAGGAGCTGCAGCAGCCACATGCAGCAGGTCATAAGGGATTAAGTTTGAACAAAGGCCTGCTGCTGTTACTGAGCAGGAGGTTAGGAAAGCTGGGTCCTGGGCATAATAGGGAGCCAGAATGAATGGGCCCAGCACAGTGGTGCTTGTACTTGTAAGTGAATGAGCTAAACTGTCCTCATTCTCAAGCTTCCTGGAGCTTGAACTGATTATCTAAGTTAATAGCTCTCCCAAGGAATGTGTAGGACACAGGCCTCCAAGGACTGCAAGTGTGTCGTTTCATACAACTCTGAAGATACCATATTATTTAGTCTAATCCCTGAAACCCATTCTAGCTATATAGTTTCACCTCATTTCTCAAAGGAGGGGGCTCAGAGGGGCCTGTAAGTTCTCTAGGTCATATAGCAAGGAGTAGAAAAAACATTCCTTAATAGAGTTTCTGCTGTTTTCAACGTGAATGATAACCTCTGGATCTTTCCCCTCCCTGGCAAGTAAACTGAATTTTACACTGCCAAGGGCAGGAATTTGTTCAACTAAAAAAAAAAAAATGTTTGGGGGCTCAACAGTTAAGAGCCTACTACACAATTTTGAGGACCAAAGTTCCAACCCTAGAACCCATGTGACATGGTCTCATGTGCCTATAACCCCACCACTGGACAGGCAGAGAGAAGAGGATCACTGGAGTCTGCTGGATGTCAGCCTACCTGAAAACCACAAGCTCCAAGTTCAGGAAGAGAACCAAAGAGACAAGGCAGAGAATGACAGGGAGGACTTTCAGAGTCCTCACCTGGCCTCCATGCACCTAGAACATACATGTACATATATACATTCTGCACGCATGTACATGTACAACACAAACATACACTTAAAAACAAAAACTTATTTCAAGTATGCCAAAGCCTGTGTTGCATAAGTGCTTTGTAGACAAACTCCCGACACCGCAGAGCAAAGGCTTCCATGCTGGCGTTAGCTTGACACCACGCATCTGCTGCTCCCACTCACCTCATTGTAGAAGAAATGGACAGTGTGGTTGTTGAGCTTTAGCGAAAGTGTTTTCAGGAACGATATGTAATATGCCATGATCTCCTCGTCGGAAAAGTCAAATTTATGGACAATGATTGAATTTACATAGTTATTAGACAGCAAATAATCTAGAAAAGAAAACACAGGGTGAAACAGGTGAGCTCGTGCTAGAGGAAAATGCCAGCAAAGGCTGTTGGGTAATAAGCACAGAACTCAGCCAGCTGAGCACAGCTTAACCTTTACCCTCAAAGAAATCATCCACCAGGCAGGACTACTTGTGAGCACACAGGTCCTGCCAGAGAGGAGCCTGTGGCTCCTCTGTGAACCAAAAGGGACAAACCCATGTGTGTTTTCTGTTCACTGCGGAGCTGAGGGCAGGAAGAACAGGCATGGGGTCACTGTCACAAGCAACCTGCAAATGAGGGCAAAAGGCTCCTCATTTTAATAAGGAGCTCCCCTACATGGCCATCAAAAGACACTGTCATGCCTGGATGCCAGAAAGGGCTGCATGTGCTTTCAATCTGTCTAATGACAATTTCATAAAGGTCACTGCATCCCCATCATGTGTCCAGGGCTAGGTTAATCACCTCAGATCCTAATTCCCCAACAGTCACCTGGTGGTTCTCAGGGGAGCACCTTGACTGAAGATGTTCCCCCTCTGTTGGGAAGGCTGGCCTTGCCAATAGAGCACAGACCTTATGAAGGGATACACCCTAGGTGATGAAGCCAGCAATGCTATCACCACTCACCTAGTCAGCAAGGCCAACCAAACCAACCCTAGTGAGCAACGAGGTATGAGATAGGGCAGCCAGACTGACTTCATGTCCCTTACAGTGACAGTTCCTAAGGCAGCTCTCAGGGCCAGCTCCAAGAGAGGCCAGTAGGGTGGGGTGGGGTCCTAAAAATCTGAACACATTGTAAAATGAGTCATGGTCATAAGTGCTATGGGTAAGCTTGCTGTCTGTGGAAATGGAGCTGTATATAACTTCAAGTTCTTACACATATGCATTCAACACAGAAGCATGTGAACCTCAGGTGTCTGGCTTGAGGGATATTTTATAGATGTGTGCTTTGTAGGGCCCTCTCAGGTAAGACCCAGTACATTTACAGTTCCTCAGGAAGCTCTTTCATACCCCTGCCCTGTCAGCATCTTCCCTCAAGGCAGGAGCCACTCTAACGACCCATCTCTATAGACTGGTGTACCTGCTTGTGAACCTTACATAGGGGAATCAGACAGGATGAGTGCTGCCTGTGCCTGGCATCTCACTCCTCCCCACATCTGAGTGTTGTCATACTGTGTGTGTTGTAGCCACACTACTTCCCCCCCTTTGTTGCTTTGTGGTATTACATTCTTTAAACTGTACAAAACTTATTCATCTATGATTTACCATGTAACATAAAACCTAGGTGCTTTTGGTAACTCAAATACTTGTCATGATGTGGCTTAGGACAACTGGGAAAGGACAACGGGCCAACATGAGAAAAGATGTAGGACATCTTAGTGAGCCCTGTATTTATAGGCCAGTGGCCCCTGGGCCACAAATGGCACAAAAACTAGCAGTTTCAGGTATGTGAAAAGAATTTCTGGCTACATTCTACACCTGGGACAGTCACAACGTTCACCTGCTCCCCAAAAAGTCTTCCTAACCCCTCTATGGGGGTTAAGGAAACACCAGGGATCAGTGAAGGGGCCTGTTATGTGGCTGGGATTTTTCTATCCCATCACCTGTGGCTGACATCCTGTGGTATTCTATTATAATAAACCTAGAAGTCAGTAAGTAATCTCAGTCTTTGCGGCCTCTGTCACTTAGGTCACCAAACACATAGGCAACAGCAGACTCTGTGCAATGGCTCCCTGTAATAGTGTAATAGCAAAAACCTGGAAAGCACCCAGATGCCCACAGACAGATTCATTTGGCAACACTGCAGCTGGGGTCCGGACCAGGGAGGCCCCAGGCATGAACAACAGAAGATGGATGGGATGGAGGTGGGGTGCATGGAACAGATGAGTTGTAGGGTAGGAGGTTACAGACATCTGACCAGACTTTTGTAATGAAGTTTTGTTGCTTTACAATAACTCCATTTTTTCTAAAATAAAAAATAAAATCATCTGGACATAGCGGTGTATAACTGTAATCCTAGCTGAGGCAGAAAAACCAAGAGTTTGAGGCCAGTCTGAACTACATAGAGAAAAACTGCCTTGAAAGATGTTTTAATAAAAACTGTCCAGAAAATCAGAGATGTGTCTGCCAGGTCTTCTCACAGCAGGGTACCCACAATGCATGTGTCATATCACTTCTGTATAGATCTAAAACAGTCAGCACAGCTGCAGAGAGCAGAAAGGGTCACGGGGGCTGTAGAGAAGGAAGCGGGAGTGTTGGCTAGCAGTCACAAGGCCTTAGCTAAATTCTCCACGTACAGAATAGTGACTGGTGATGACAGTGACCAACCCTGCACTAGACACACATCTAAGACCGTAGGGCTAGGAAGTGATGGCTATGCCAGTTGGGCAGCACGGGCCACTTCAACGTGTGCACGTCAGACCTTCGAGCTACTACACTAAGGAGCTACAACTTCTGAAGTACCTGTTTTTAATTCCTAGCCTTAGATGGGTTTCAAAAGAGTCACAGAATAAAACTCAAGGAAACCTATATTAAAACTCAAGACTGGAATTGTCCCACCAGCCTCAATAATACCCTGGGTGTTCACTCTCGGCTGAGCCCTAGGCCTGCTCCTTAGAGCTGTACCTCCCCCCCCCCCCCCCCCCCCCCCCCCCCCCCCCCCCCCCCCCCCCCCCCCCCCCCCCCCGAGCTTAGAAACCACACTTGTTTTGCATCCAGCCATCCAGTGAAACAGAAGCTGATAACAAGGGAAACCATGCAGGGAGACATGAATTAGCCGCATCTGTCAGACTGTGGTCAGGGGAAGGAGGAAGTCTCTGTGGTGGCAGCACCACCTAGCGGTCACTGCTGGGGTCACCACACAGCAGCCCTCCAGACTCAAACCCTTTTCCAGACTTGTTGCAGGAATTCAGTACCTGCCTTTGCTCCTTTTCTCTTGATCTTGAGGGCAGGACCTGGGCTCTACTGCATTTGGAGTAAGTAAGCTAGCACGGAATGAGGTTAGGCTGTCTCAGCTCCAGCACTGATAAAAGTCTGGGCTAGGTAATGCTCTCTGCAGGTCTGTCCTGGACACCACGGGCTACTACTTAGCAGCTCCTCTGTATTTGGATGGACTACAGCAACCAATACTAACTCCAGATGCCAGCAGCGTACCCAGGAAATACCAGTAGCCCATTGAGGACCACTAAGTTCATTCTCCTCTATTCTGAACTTGCTAGAACAGTTACTTTGGACCTATGACTCCAACCTTCTTGGAGAGCCCCAGCAAACCCTGCCTCCCAGGGGTGGTTGTTACAGATGAATAATCTGGGCTTACTGAGGGCAGGTCTGAGTCAAACTCCTATTCTCTGGGCAGGAAAACTGAAGCAGAGGGGTGCTGGCTGGAGTACATGAACCAGAGCCCCGTCTGTGGACTACTCAGTCTTCAAAATAGAACCCTACAGAGGGACTGCAGCCCCCACCTCTCTTAGTCCTCCACAGAACTACCACACTGAACTGCCCCAACACATCACAGCCTGCAGCCGTCACTCTCATCATATCACTGAAGGTGATGACAGGGCTCTCAGGAGGAACTAAGGCTAAACGAGGTTGCAAGGTGGGCTTCAACCCTGACAAAATTGGTGTTCCCATAGGAGTCAGAGAGACCAAAGGTCTCTCTTGACCTCACTCTCTCACAGGTAGGGCCAGGTACAGTTAGATGGAGTTAAGATCTAATGTGTCTCCAAAGGTTCATGTGCCATACCCTCTGTTCCTGAATCGAGGCAGTGTTAGGAGGTAAGACTTAGCGAGTGATATTCAGATGGTGGGGTGAAGTTTTTCATGAGTGGGTCAATGTCTTTCTCAACACGAGTTTTCCCTCTGCTGGTTCTGGACTAGTTGGTTACCTTAAGAGCAAGTTACTGAGGGCTTGTAAGATGGCTGCTGCCAAGCCTGATGACCTAAGTTCAATCCTGAACCACAAGGTAGAAGGAGAGAACTGACTTATAAGTTATCCACTGACTTCTACATGTACTCTGTGTTATGTGCACATGCACATACACTCAAGTGCACTTAGGCACATAAATAAATGTGATAAAACTTTTTTGGAGACAGGGTTTCTCTGTGTAACAGTCCTAGCCATCCTGGAACTAGCTCTTTTAGACCAGGTTAGACTCAAACTTATAGGGATCCACCTGCCTCTGCCTCCCAAGTGCTCGGATTAAAGGCATGCACCACCACCACCTGGCTGTGATAAAAATTTTTAGAAGGAACACTTGAAGCTTTGCAATGTGGGGATTACTTACAAGTAAAGCTCACAAATTAAAAAACTCAGGATACCATGCACTTACTAAGCAGATATTTGGTCTCTTTCACAGCCTCTCTGCCATGGGCTGAAGTGGCAGAAGGCACTCACAAGGTAGAGATGCCTAGTTTTCAAATTCTTGGCTTCAAAATCTTAGTCAAAAAAGAAAAAAACCCTCATTCCTTTAAATGACCTAATTTCTCAGGTCTGGAGAGATGACTCAGTGGTTAAGTGTACTGGCTATTCTTTAAGAGGACCTGGGTTTGATTCCCACATGGTGGCTCATAACCATCTTTAACTCTAGCTGCAGAGCTCCTTTTCTGGCCTCTGCAGGCATCAGACACTCAAATGGGACACAGACATATGTGCAGGCAAAACACCCATGCACATAAGAAAAAAAAAAAGATTTTTAATGATTTTTAATTTTTAATGTTACAGTTTAATGACTATAACAGAGTTTGTTATAGTAATAGAAAACAGACTGAGATAGTATCTATCTACAAGCTAAGAAGCAAGCCCTCAGTAGAAACCAGCCCTGACTTCAGCTTCAAATTTGACATCCATCCTCCTGAACAGTGAGCAAACACATTTCTACTGTCCAAGCCACTAAGTCCACTGGGGTAGCCTGGGCAGACTAAAATACTTGGGAAGCAGACATATGAAATCTGGCAGTACACAGAAAATAGCAAGCAGTATTCTTACAGAGTGATGTCTCATGGCTGATGTTCTCAAAGAGGATGTTCAAGGTCTGTAGTAGCTGGACACACACATAACGGCCTGATTTCTGTCGCAGAATGTTCAAGAAGAAAACAAACATATTCTTCTCCAGGAAGAAACTGGGGAGAGAACAAGAAAGGGTCAATGGGTGGATACATCCTAGCTCACATGTATAGGTTTGCCATATATATGTGTATATGTGTACAGTGGTAAGACCAGACTGCACATCTCAGTGCCCATGATGCCATCTGCAATTGAGGACAACACATGGCCTTCCCACTCTCTTCCTGTCTCAGCATGTGAGGCCGGTGCTGGTTCCAAGAAATGGTAAAGTAGATTCTGACAGAATGGAGATGCTCTACCTGGTAAGAGCTCACACGGCAGCCTGTGCCAGGTGCTCTACAAGCATCGTTCTCCAGCACACATACCACCTGTATCCGTAGTTTCCCCGACAAAACCTATTTACTTTGCACTCCCATATTCAAGGGCAGAAAAACACAAGAACTGGGTTTTCCTGCAGGGCCAAAAGATGCTGAGTGATGGCAAAGCTTTTCACTTCTGTTGTCTGTTTGCAGCTTCCCGACGGCTCCTCAAAGAACCTGAAGAAAGGTGAAGGTATTAACGTGGAGGGACTCTACAGAGCCCCCAAACCTGCTTCTGCCTTTCTTGTGCTATAAGGCCAGGGGCAATGGCCTGGGGGTGTGGTGGTACATGTTAAAAATGGGGTCTTCAATGCCCTTCCTTCAAGAAAGATGTTATTTCTATTCATTTGTTCAGTGTATTTGAGCAAGATCAGTTTGAAATAGTCAGAAGAAATCTCAGCAATCGAAGGCTCAGGATACGGCTCAGTTGGCTCAGTTGGAAGAGTGCTTGCCCAGCATCACCTAAGGCAGGTGTTGAGGTATGAACCTAGAATCCCAGCATTTGGGCAGTGGAGACGGGAGAATCAGAAGTTCAAAATCATCTTGGCTATACTGTGAGCCCAAAGCTAGCCTGGAATATAGGAGACCCTGCCTCAGAAGGAGAGAGAGATAGAAATAGAGATAGAGATGAGAGGGTCAGAGGGAGGGAGGGAGGAAGAGAGGGAGAGAAAGAGAGGGGTACGGTCCCTGTAGTCACATGAGTCTACTGGGTGGCCCAGTTCTAGATGCCTCTTCCCCTCAACTGTCACTCCATAGGGATAGGACCAGTGGCCTGACACTCAGTGCCACACAATTCTGCTTGAATTCATAAAAGGATAAGTGAATGATAAAATATGATCTTAAAAAAAGGAAAACTAAATTCTTTCTCCCACTCTGACTCCAGGACCCCATCTGCCTATACACATTGCTCCTACTGACTCCCAGAGTGTTTCTAGCATCTGACCTACTTTGCCTGCCTCTGCTTCAGGTTATACAAAGCAGTGACTTGCTAGAATCATCAGCACACTCAATACCAAAGGTGGCAGGGGGAAGCTGCCAAACATCTAAGCCTCCATTTTGCTGCAGGGGTGACTTAGTAGATCTGGTGTGAAACGCTCAAGGCTAGTTGTTCTTATCTTTGTGTGTATGATGTGTATTCTATGTTGGGGCATGGATATACACAGCAAGCCTGTGGAAGTCAGCAGAAGGCTCTGGATATTGGTTCTCACCTTCCGCTGTGTCTGAGACACAGTACCATTGCTGCTGCATTCATCAGGCTACCTGGCCTGTCTCCCATCTCACCGTACAAGCCCTGGGATACAAACATGTGCTACCGCACATACTTTTATATAAATTCTGGGAATTCGAATTCATGTTTGTATGCCAAGCATCTTTCCAGCTGCAAGGCTGGATTTTTGAAAAATTCTTAGAATGGGAGAATACTTGGGAAAATGGTTGAGTCTAGGGCTTCAAAACTATCAAATGAGTCGAGTATCTTACAGTTTCAGGAAATAAGGAAACATTCAAAAAGCAAGTGACAAAGGAGCCAACTGGGCAGAGGCCCTAGTACCCAAAGCTGGAGCAACTGGGTTCTTACCTAAAGTAAAACCAAACTTGAAGCACTTAGCACTTTTTCTTTTTCTTTTGAACTGAGGTCTCTAAGCTTCCTGAGAGCTAGGGTTACCAGTGTGCATCACAGCAGCACACCTGGTGCTCACACACTTTTCTTTTTCTTAATCTTTTTTTTAAAAATTTATTGATTTTTATTGAGCTCTTCCCGCTTCTCCTCTCCCATTCAACCCTCTCCCAAGGTCTCCATGCTCCCAATTTACTCAGGAGATCTTGTCTTTTTCTACTTCCCATGTAGATTAGATCTACGTATGTCTCTCTCAGGGTCCTCATTGTTGCCTAGGTTCTCTGGGATTGACTCACACGTTTTTCTAAGATGACACACAGATTCCATTCTAAAAAGAAGGTGTCAGGACAGTCTCTAATCTTTAACCTGAGGGGTTTTCTCGTTTCAACAACAAATAAAGAAAGAAATTCTTAATGGGCCTGTAAAAGAAGCCCCTCCCATTTCTAAACCACACTTCACTCTAGGTGCCCATGCTTTCCTTCAGGGATCATGATGTGTCTCAGGCTCACACATAAGATATTTGTATTTTGCACAGAGCTGTCCTGCAAACAAGTCAAGATAATTTATAAGAAGCCTGGGCAGGGAAGACAGCTCAGTGGGTGAGGACCTGAGCCTGGATCTCTAGAAGCCACATAGAAGTCAGATGGGAAAGTGAGATTCTACAGTGGGAGGAAAAGCAGACAGAATTCTATGGACGCTCTAGTGTCTGCTAGCCTGGCATACATAGCAGTGAACAACAAATCATGTCTCAAACAAGGTGGAAGCCAAGAACCCACCCTGAGGTTGTCCCCTGACCTTCACATATGTACCATGGCAAGTGAACACCCCTGTATAAGTGTACCCACACTCACCACCCCCACTCCAGCACACGTATATAAAATCTGTGTTCTTGGCTGTCATAAACCAATCTCAAACCCTTGTACATCAAGACTTCAGGATATACAGAGGAACACTGGTTTCCAGCCTAAAAGGCTGTCCAATGGGAACACTTCTGTCTATCATGTGTATCACCCATGAGGCTGCATGCTTCCAGGACTCGACAGGGAGCATTTTCTCTCCTTTTTAAAGATAAGGAAACAGAAGTGCAGGGAGGCAAACAGCCTGACCTATGCTTGCTGGTCTAACAGCAGGATACAAGTACAAGGATGGAAAGAAACTTCTTTGTGGACTCTAGGTAAGACAGGCTCCCTGACTGTCTATATATGGGAACACCAACAGGGCTTCCGTGTGGGCCAAGAGGGGGTATGCTAGACTGTGCTCTCAAAACTCAGGATTGTTGCCCACTCCCAGTCAACATACCAGTGGCTGGGGAGATGGCTCAGATCCCTAGAACCCATGTGAAATCTGGGTGAGTATGGCAACCTGCCTGTAATTCAAGCCCTAAGGAAGCAGAGACAAAGGATCCTGAGAGAAGCTGGCTAGTTAGTCTAGATCAATGGTTCTCAACCTTCCTAATGCTGTAACCCTTTAATACAGTTCCTTATAGTGTTGTGATCGCCCCAACCATAAAATTATTTTTGTTGCTACTTCATAACTACAATTTTGCTACTGTTATGAATCGTAATGTAAATATCTGTGTTTTCTGATAGTCTTAGGTGCCCCCTGTGAAAGGGTCATTTGATTCCCCCAAAGGGTACAACCCACAGTTTGAGAACCATTGGTCTAGATTGGATTAACAAGCTTTGGGTTCAGCAAGGGACCTTATTTTAGTAACTTAAGTGGCAAGTGATGGAAGATGACATCTGACATCAACCCCTGATCTCCCCATATATGCACACAAACGGGCACACATGTATGCCCACACACGTTCCAACATGTTTAAACACCATAATACCACATATATACACATGCAAAGCAATAAGTAAAACAAAATAAATGCACTAGGTGCTGGCCCTTGGCAACTCCCTTGGGGCAGAACCTTTATGTTTATTTGGAACCTAACTATCTGGGACATTCCTCGTGCCACCGAGTAGGTAATAGAGTACAACTCGGAATGCTATCCACACAGCCTCATTTTTTCTAGAGAAACTCATTTCCACAGTTCTTCCAATTTGGGCTTGTACCTTTCTAGTCTCTCAAGGACATTTGCTATACATATTTAGGCAAGATGGAATTAGCATCGATTCCTGACTCATGGTGTCCACTTGGACAAACACTCAAAGGAAGAGGAAGAAGCCTTACTCGAACACAGAGCTGTCATTTTGATCACCCCAAATCAGGATCTCAGTGATGGAACGGATGGTTTCCACCAGCAGGTTCCGGTTCTGTTCTGTGACGGTGGTGTTTTTGGTTAAAACATGGTACAGGTACCTAGAAGAAAGGGAAGAAAGCAAAGCTTACACAAAGTGAGTTGAAAGCCAGGCCCCAGGGCCACTGGCAACACTCACAGCATAGCCGCAGTGTTTAAGTTTCTGTTAGCACAATTTCCCATTCAAGATGGAGATAGAAGTCCCCACCCAAGAAAAATGGCAGGAGCTCTGAAATATTACATGCCAGGGACACATCTGCCCAAACTGAGGCCAAAAGCACTGCCAAGCCCTGAAACCAGTCCCCGAAAACTTCAGGGTGCATGAGAACCACAGAGTTGGCAAAATCAGAGGCTCCTGGGGTGCACTTGGGGATTCCGCTTTAGAATTGAAGGCAGGCCTCACAGTGCGCAGTGATGGATGTACAGTGATCGTAGCCAGTGCCCTGCACCTGACACAGGACTCACAGCAAGAGGCAGAGTCACAGCTCAAGGACAGAGCCTAGGACACCAAACACTACTTCTGGAATGTCTATCGTTCCTCTCTAGCACAGTACACCCATGAAACTAGGACTCAGAGTGGGACAGAATGAGTAACTCTTGTCCAAGGGGAACAATCTCATCTGCTAAGTCTAGAGTGAGAAGGGTGGGAGAGGCCAAAGTCCAGGTAACTACCTGTCAGAGCCTTAGGCTGGCTTAGGAAGGAAAAGTTGGCTCAATAGGAGTGGCTCAAGACGCCTTTCAGGGCCACACTCAATTTCTGAGTGAGGCTGCGAGAAAAGGAAAGGATGAGTGTAGAGGGGTTGTCCCTCCTACAGTCCAAAAAAAGCAGGGAACAAAGACAGAACCCTGGAGGTGGAATAATAAGACCTAGCTGTTCTCAGCAGCTGGGCTAGTTTCCTGTAGTAACACTGTGGCTGTCTGTTATATTTTAAGAACAGCCTCAAGTGTTTCCTGTTCTGTGTTCTCACTGTGCTGGGAAATGAACCTACAGTGTCAGACATACTGGCTAGAGAAGGCTCTGCCCCAAGCCACAACCTCTACCATCCTGTTTTTCATTACTGTATTTCATTTTGAGACAGGGTCTCAGTAATTTGACCCAACTAACCTTGAACTGGCTCAGTAGCCCAGGAAACCTAGAACTTGATCTTCTCATGTCAGTTTCCCACACAACTGGGATCAGAGTCACATCCAGCCTGCAGTACAATTTTTAACATGCAACAAGTAGCAAAGTCCTCCAAGAAGATAAATCATCCAACCTTGGAACTCAGGTCTACCCACAGTGCTGCACATGAGGACACAAAGCCCACTTTCCTCTACACTAAAGTAACCCAGCTTCTCAACTGCCAGGGACAAACAGTAGGACTGAGCTACAAGACTGTGTGTCCACTGTGATTCTAGTGCACACCCTCCACAAGGCTTAAGGAACACTTTTCCAAATTGTGGTTCAAAGATGTCCTGCAGCTGTCTCACTGTTTAAGCCACTCCCTATTCACACCCTGAATCAGGCTATTGGGTGAACAGATTAAAATGGCGTGTGCATGTGTGACTGAGGATGAAACCCAGGGCCTCACATTTTAAGCCCGTGCTCTACAACTGAGCATCCCCTATGCCTGAATAATTTGACGGCTGCTACACCAATCCCAATGTGGCCATTGGTGACATTCTCTACACAGTCCACAGGATAACAGTAACTCTCCCAGAGACAAGATAATGCTGGCAGTGTAGGTTAGGGAGGAGCAGCTTCTTCCCACTCTGGAGATATAACATATATATCTAGGAGGATAACATACATGCACTAGCCTCACACATTACACTCCTGGCTTGCTGGAAAGTAGCAACATGGGCGAATACTCTGAGGGTCTCCAACCACAGTGGACAGGGTCTGACCTCATTTGAGTGGGTTGCCTGAATAGACTGCCCTTGTCAATCAGCAACTGTTGCTCATATTCAAGGCTCAAGCTACCATCTCTCAATAAAGCTTTCTTTGGAGAAGGCTTTTTTTTTTTTTTACTCTCAATCTCTAACCCCATGGACCTGGCGGTCCCCTATTCACTGGCACCTCTACCTTCTGTGAAGTACTTGCTACTTGACCCAGCTGACCTTGAACCGGCTCTGTAGGCCAGGTAAACTAGATCTTGTGATCCTCTCATCTCAGTATTGTTATTTTACAGAGCAGTGTGTTCTCAATGGTCTATCTCTCTGACTAGACTCCAGGTCAGGCCAATCATCTTAATGATCTTGATGACTCCAATACACTCCAGAATAGCTAGTACACAGCAAGTACTACCTATATAAATGCTGAACGAGGCAGAGGCAGTCTCCACTAGTATAAACTGGAGTATAGTATACAAGTCCAGGTAAAGTAAGGGTTCAAGTTATAGCACAGAACTGTGATAAAGAGCTCATCAGGATTTGGAATCCAACAATCTTAGGTTTGACCCCTGACCCTGGTACCTCCTAGCTGTGGTCACCTCTGCAGCTCTGTCTAAACACAGTAATAACCACAAAGGATATGAACAGATAAGCAGGGTGCCTGGCATACATGGTGCACAACACATAAGAAGCCTTAGCTGCTACTGTTATACTGTGGTCATCATGATGTGGGATGTTACAAACATCCTTATTAGTTTGTACAATACCAGAGACTTTTTGGAAGGTGATATCAGGCTGGTCCCAAATACTCAGGGAAAGAGGACTACAAGGAAAAAAATAAGGTGGAAAAGATCCAAGGAACTTAGGGCAGGAAGTAGGACTTGTGGGTCACTTCTGGAGAAGCAGTAAAGTATGCGAGGTATCACAGACACCTGCAGACCTAGTGATATCTTCATTACTAATAACCCAGTGATCCGTAGCAGGCTACTTCATCTCTCTGTACCTTAGTGACCTGTCATTACAGTGACTTTGGAAAGAGAAGATAAGTAAAGAGAGAAATAACTAAGCTGGGTGTGATATGCACACGTGTAATCCCAGCACTAGGGAGACTGAGGTAAGAGGAAGGACTCAAAATATTGAGTTCAAAGCCAGCCTGGAGGTATACAGTGTTACCTTCTCTTAAAAATTTAAAAGAATTCCCGCACTCAGGAGGTAGAGGCAGGCAGACCTCTGTGAGTTCCAGGTCAGCCAGGGTTATATAATGAGATCCTATCCTGTTTAAAAAGGGGGGAGAACTAAAGTGCTAGTTGTTATTATGATTTCTTTTGTTATGTAATCACTTTTTAAAGTCCCATTAGAGAACTTTTCTCATGTGGACTGATGGTGCACCCCCAATGAGCCAATGACCTCCTAATAAAGATTCCAATACCAGACACAAGAAGCCCTCTTTGAGTTGTTGGGCCAGGACTATCTAAGAGACTCCTAAAACATACAACCTGTCACCCACGGTTACCCCCCAGAGGTAGAAGGTAAGTTCCTATTGATAAAGATACCATGCACTTCAGAAACAGGGTCCAAAGACCCCTGAGCTGGAACTGACCTGAATGCTTCCTCCCTGAGAACTGGCTTTCATGGTATCAGGAGGGAGGCAACCAACAGTCCTATCAGCTATAAGGCCTATGAAACACATCAACAGCTAGCATGTTATGAAAACCCTAAGGGTGCAGTAGTGGCACACATACCTTAGTGGTAACCACTCTTATTAGGTCTTAAGACTCACTCAACAAGATGGAAACCATGCCCGGTACTGGAAACCTAGCTAACTAATCAGTGGTTACTTAGCCATAACTAAGTCATGGTTATTGAAGAATCTACAGACATTAACTTATTAAACCAGCATAATCTTGAACAATATACAAGCATTTGTTCTTATACCCACAGAGAAGTGGAGTCTTGACCCCTCATCAAGGAAATGTCTCTCTACAACAGAAAAGACCACTACACAAAATCACATCAAAATGCAGAGCTGCAAAGTCCAGTCACAACAGATACATTAACAAAACATTTCTACACCTAAGAACCTAAGGCTCATTGAACATTACAGAAGAGGGGGTGGGAAGATTTTAAGAGCCAAGAGGATCAGGGAGTTTGCTGTGAGACTGTGTCTCCTACTATGGTAGTTTGAATGTAACTGGCCCCCATAATCTCATAGGAATGGCATTAGGAAGTGTGGCTTTGTTGCAGTGGGTTTGGCCTTGTTGGAGGAAGTGTGCCACTATGGGGGAAAGCTTTGAGGTTTTCTATGCTCAGGATACCACCCAGTGTCTCAGTTGGCTTCCTGTTGCAAGATGTGTAGCACTCTCCACTCCAGCACCACATCTGCCTGCACACTGCCATGCTCCCCATCATGATGATAATGAATGGAACCTCTGAAACTGTAAATAAGCCACCCAATTAAATGTTTCTCTCATAAGAGTTGCTGTTGGTGTGGGATTCCCCTCTTTATGCTGTGAATACCATTGGTTAATAAAGAAGCTACTTTGGGCATATTGCAGCACAAAATAGGGCAAGCCAGGAATTCCAAGCAGACAGAGGAGAGAGTAGACAGAGTCAAGGAGAAGTTATGTAGCCGCCTAAGGAGAAAGATGCCTTGTTGGTAGGCCACGACCTTGTGGTGATGCACAGATTAATAGAGATGAACTGATTTAAGATATAAGAGCTTGCTAGAAATATGCATAAACTAATAGGCCAAACAGTGTTTTAATCAATATAGTTTTTGTGTGGTTCTGTGTGGTCTGTGCACCAACAGGTACCAACTACAGTCACATAAAACCTGAGAGAGCCTGGAAGGGAATTCTAGGCACAAAAGTACAGAGTCAAGTACAGTTTCTTGTTTTTTTTTTTTTTTTTTTTTTTTTTCCCCCCCCAGATAGGCTCTGTGTGCTGGCAGCAAGCAGGAACACCGTGGCTCCTTTAACAGGATTACTAACTCAACATAAGAAATGGTGGCTTCCTGGTTCATGGTGACACCATGAACTCTGACTCTTTCAGGAGGCTGGGCACTTAAATGGGGTTTGTGAGCAGCATGCTACTAGTGGCTTAATGGTGACACAGACCTGCTGCAACCCTGAAGCTGGAGTAGTATGCATGACTCTCAGAGACAGTGAACATGCCTCTACCATGTTGGAAT